GAAGGGGGGGCAGCGCTTTTCACCCCTCTTTTTCTCCACACCCCACCCCCTTCACCCCGCGTTCTCCCTCCGCGGTGGGGGTGAAGGAAAAGATATTTCCTCCGGCGCAGCACAGCGCTCCCCCCCCCCACCCCAAATTCAATGAAGAGAGAAGATTTGGGGTCCTTTTTTACCGTCGTTATGCTTTTTTTCTTTTTGTGGGAGAGGTTATTTATTATTTATCAATGTTGAATTTTTGGGGGTGCCCCCCCCTCCAAATACGCCCCCCCCCACCGTTCTACCCCCCCCACCCCCCCCCCCCCCCCCCCGCGCCCGGAGTGCCGCGCATGCGCGCTGAGGTTGGCGGGGAGGGAGGGAGAGACAAGATGGCGGCGCCCGGCGGAGGGAGCGTGGAGGATGAGGAGGGTGAGCCCGTGTTGGGGCGGTTGGAGGAAGAAGCCCGGCGGAGGCAGGAGAGGCTGCGGGCCTTGCGGCAGAGAGCTCTGCAGGTGGGAGGCGGAGGGACGGGGGAGCGGCTGGGTTCCGGGGTACGGCTTGTAGAGGTGGACCTGGCTGCGGCCTGTGGCTGCCTGTATCCAGGGAGAGTCGGGTGGGGGGGGGGAAGGGAAAGGATCCGTCCTGGGGGGGTGGTTGGCTCGTATTGTGCCAGGGGAGGCTCAGGTTGGTATTAAGAGTCATTTCTTTTCCTAAAGAGTGGTGATGTTTTGGCACAAGGCTGCTCAGAGAGGCTGTGGATGCCCCGTCCGACCCTGGAGGTGTTCGAGGCCAGGTTGGATGGGGCTCTGGTATTAAATGTGGAGGTTGGTGGCCCTGCATGTGGCAGGGGGGTTGGAACTTCATGATCCGTGAGGTCCCTTCCAACCCAAGCCATTCTGTGGTTCTATGATTAGCCACTTGTTCACTGGTTATGACAGGAAGACCACCAAGTGGTGAAGATACAACGGCTCCTTGTAAGGAGAAGTCTAAACAAGCTGTTTTGCTGAAGTCTTGAGTGAGGCCTGTGTACGCCCCACTCCAGGAAAAGTAAACCTCAGAACTGCTTCTATAAACCTTACAGCAGATGGGAGTCAATTCTATAATTAACAAGGCTTGCAGAGCTTCTCCCAGGACTCTACCACTGAGCATGGTAGATAAAACAAGAAGTGATGGCCTTAAGTTGTGCCAGGGGAGGTTCAGGTTGTGTATTAGGAAAAGTTTCTTCTCAGGAAGAGTGGTGACGTAGTGGAACAGGCTGCTTAGGGAGGTGGTGGAGTTGCTGTCCCTGGCAGTGTTCAAGAGGCATCTGGGTGAGAAGCTGTGAGGTATGGTTTAGAGCTTGTGGTAGCAATGGTAATGGACTAGATGATCTTGCAGGTTGTTTCCAACCTTGTTATTCTATGATCCTAGTGGTGGAGTCAGTGTCCCTGGAGGTGGATATGTGGTGCTTGGGGAGATTGTTTAGTGAGCATAGTAATGATTGGTTGACAGTTGGACTAGATAATCTTTCTGGTCTTCTTCAGCTTTAATTATTTTGTTATCCTGTAAATAGGAGAGGGAGAAATGGAGACCTGGGAGAGCTCCATCAGCAGTGGAGGGAGAAAGGGTGGGTCAGGCACTGGAACAGGCTTCCTAGTGAAGTGGTAGAGTCACTGGAGGTGGTCAAGAACTGTTCAAAATGTGGCATGGGGGGACATGGCTTAGTGGGGTGGTAGGGGATGCATTGATGGTTGGAGTTGATGATCTTAGAGGCCTTTTCCAGTGTTAATGATTCTGTCATTCTTTGATTCTGTGTGCCACTGAGACCGGGAAGCCATGACACGTTGGGGACAGGTGGACATGAAGCAGAAGGAAAGAAATGAGAAGGGGGATGATGGAGAAGGCTGAGGCAGGTTTGGTGTCTAGGAGGAAAAGATGTATTAGCCACTTGTTCATTGGGGTGGCAATGGCAAGAAGAAGACCCAAGTGGTGAAAATACAGCAGCTCCTTGTAAAGAGAGCTATTCATAGAAAGCTTTGTGTTCCATTGTGTGGAAAAGCTTTTGGGTCTGTGGTTTGAGGGTTTGGGTTGTGGAGTGCAGAGGATGGGTAAGCAAGGAGGCTGTCTTGTGTTTAGGGGAAAATCTTGGTGTTTGGTGCAGGTGGTTTGTTAGGGTGCTTGGACTGTAGGTGTACGTGGTAGTGGGACTGAGGCTGTGTGAGGTGGCCAGGCAGCTTTTAGGAGTGTGGGGGGAAAGGAAGTGAGCAGGGTGAAGGGATGATTGTGGGGAAGGAATAGTGAGGGAGCTTGGAACGGGAGGGGAAAAGTGGAGATTACAGAGAATGGGTTAGGAGGGCATCCTCAGTGTGCGGAAGGGGTTCTGGAGTGAAAGGGTTTGATAAAAGGGATGCAAGCACTGCAGGAAGGGGTGGGATTTGGGGCTCGCTGCAGATCTGTGAGGAGCAGTGGGGGACAAATGGTGTGGAGCAACGTGGTGCCCTGGAGTGAAGCCTTTCGTCTGTGGATGAAGGGATGGGAAGAGCAGAGAAGCTGACATGGTGGGGATGCTTGTGCAATGTTTTTCCTGGTGACCTACCTCTTGTGTGACCAACCCTCTTGCCAAGCCCCAGTGGTGTCTCTGGGGTCTCTGTCCTGTGTGATGTCTGTCCTTGTTACTTCAAAATAGGGATTTTTATTGCAGATGAAAGAAGAATGCAGCAAATGGGAGGAACTTGGCAGTGAGTGCCTCAGCAGTGGTACCAAGGAAGGCTGCAGTGATTCAGTGTGTCTCTGCAATCCCTTGTGTTGCTTACTTTTTTTCCTCTCGGGTAATAAGGTGTGAGCTCTGCTCCCCTTCTGCCACATCATCCTCAATTTGTTAATGAGGGTTAGTTCAGTAATGTGGGAGGGTGTCCTGTCCTTTTCCTCTGGGGTTTGATACCTCCAACAGGAGCTGTGTGGACAGGCCAGGGGCAAAGTGGGATACTGCCCTTCTTAGCCTCACTGGGAAGAAAAGCTATTGAAATGAAAAGCTCCTTCCTTTCTTCTGGCAAGTTTTGAGAGAGCAGAGCTTCCTGAGAAATGTATCCTGGTAAATATGCCCACATTAAGTTATCATGAGTGTGAGCTAAATGATGACTTCTTTTTGCTGACAGGGATCAGCTGGTGGCTGAGAACCTTCTGAATTATTTCAGAAGAGTCTAAAACAGGTGGCTGCTGCTGCAGCAGGGCCAGGGGAGGCAGGATCACAGGGTGAGCTCCTAACTGCCAGAAGCAGCCCACCTTGCAGCAGATAGGAGTGAGTTCCTACAGGGGGGAGGTAGAGCCTTCCTTAGTCACACCAAGGTGTGTTGTGTTTAGTGGCTCTTGGTAGACTTGTTCTGCTGAGTTTATCCAAGTCCTTTAAGTCTCTGCTTACACTTGGCTTTTGCAGAATCCCAAGACAGAGTTCTGCAGTTTAATTAAAAGAAAACCCCAAAAAACCTAAACCCACTAGATGAGAGTTGTCTGGGGTGCTGCTTTTGCAGATCTAATCCATTAAATAGTTGTTCTGTCTTCATGATCTTATAGTACTGTTCATCTCTCTTTCAGGTTCAAATTGGGGTCTGTGAGGTCTGTCTTTATACATAGATATCTCTGAACTGTCTTTATGATATTCCTGTGTATCTTCTTGACTTCAGAGATGCCCCTTTGCTGAGAGGGGCTCTGGGACTGTGTGTGGTGCTCAAGATGTGGGGGCCGTGTTGGTTTGCAGTGCTGGCACACCTTTTCCTGGTTTTATTTATCAGGGCATGCCTACTATTT